AAAGCTGCTGTGAGAAACCACATTAAAGTTCATAATCGTCTAGATTCATATGACTGTGAGGAATGTGAGAAATCATTTGCAACCAAATATCGTCTAAAAGCTCACTTGAAAACTCATATTGATAGGGATAGACCTCATAAGTGTAGAGTTTGCAATAAATCCTTTTATACACGTTATCATCTGAATACGCACATGAGATCCCATGAAGGAGTAAGAAATTTTGTTTGTGAACTATGTGGCAAGGCCTTGTCCACACAAAAGACCCTGGAGCTTCATGCACTGACTCACACTGGTGAGAAGCCATTCCAATGTGAGATCTGTGGTTCTACTTTTAGGCAGAGAAGTAACCTGCTCACGCATATCAAAGCAACACATTATCAAGAAAAGAATTATCATTGTCAGATGTGTCAAAAATCTTTTGTAAGAAAGAGGCTTTTAGTTTATCACATGAATAGTGTTCACACTGGCCAAAGGCCATACAAGTGTGAACTGTGTAATGCTAGCTTTGTGTACCCACATTATTACAAGAGGCATTTACGAAAACACACTGGAATCAAGCCACACAAATGTAATGTTTGTGGTAAGACTTTTGCTTCAAGGGAAAACCGTAATGCTCACATGTTCATACACTCTGACAAAAAGCCATACGAATGCAAAATCTGTGGGGCAGGTTTCATGCGAAAGCCATTGTGTGTGTCACATTTGGCAAATCATGGCCACACTGAAAATGCCGAGGACTATATACTTTTTAATTCTCCGAGCCTACTAGTTGGTGGCCACGAAGAATTGATAGTAGCTGAAGATGAGGAAGCAGCGCGTGCTGTTCATGCAGTCAGGATGGCTGAAGAAACCAGTGCACAAGAAACAATAGTAGCAGAATCAACACAGATAATGCGTGATACAAAAGTAGTGAAGGTTATGTCTAGACCTGTACATATTATTGAGGCGGATGACACTACTCGATATGTTATTCATTCAGGAGACCGTGTGAGGGATGAAAACATGGAGCACTTTTTTGCTGCTTTACAAGGTCAAGTTGTTGAGGTGCGTACAGAGGACTTCTAGTATGTACAGTGTTTTTTTTCCTTTGATTAATTGTATTGGTTTTAAACGCAGTGCACATTATTGCACGTCTTCTTTGTATACAGTAATCTTGGAGTATTTTTGCAGGTGTAGCCATCATAACGCCCATTTGTATACAAACTCCTTAACTTTCTTTATTTTACATCAGCTCTTGCAGTAGTTTAACATCTGCCTTTTGTCTTTCTCTCCATAAATCCACAACTCATCAGTCCTGACAGCACACCATCTCTTATATACATTTCACTTATTACATACTTACAAGCCATTTGTTGCTACAATGCAGAATAACCAAAATCATGAGGAACACAAACTCTCCCTTCATATACTGCAAGTCTGTCACTAACTCTGACTGCTACAACATATGTGCTTTGTTTTGATGTTCTCCTTCCACAACAAGACTCCAAGACACCTATTTCAATGATCCCTGTTGCTTTCTACAGCTCAGTAGCATATTTATTCACTCCTATCTTCATTCATTATTTTCATTACTGTAATATTGTTTCTGTTATTTAAGACTTTACAGTATCTCAGTATTAATTCATATCACTTGTTAAATGTTATTAAGTACTAAGTTTGTATGTTCATAAAAAAATGTTGACTTATCATTTGTTGTAAATTAAATAAAGATATTGACACTATGAAAGAATAATTTGTATATATTGTAATTCCTATCATCCAAAGAACATCTGAGGAAAAATGAATAACATCGAACAACACCTTCTGGTGTTAGCCATCTGCTTCAGCATTACCAGATATTAGAGGGAAGGTTAAAGGTAAGGTTCACCCTTCCCTTTAACCTTATGACAATTTATGTCATTTTACTCCTAAGCTGACAATTGTGTCACTTTTTCCTACATTTTCCTTTCTGCCTCATTAATAATGTCCAAACTCGCCCAAAATAAAACTTGTATGTTTTACAATCAACTCAATACATCACACATGTATTTATGGAAATTTAATGTACAGTACATTTAAATTTATTAATCCAGCGTAAAGGCAGTTCAAGGATAACAGGTATTGTAAGCCCAAGAACACGCCCTTATCTCATGCCTATAACTGAATTCCTGAGTTTCTACGACAGTGATACACCTAAACAGATGCCCAATAAATTAAATGAATTACCGAAAGATTTTATGATACAGTATGTAACCACAATGAAATGGTAAGAATGACTAATAATAAAGGCAAAACATACACACCTGTGTACTCTTAAAAAGATGAGGTGAAGGTGACCTAATTGAAGTTTATAAACATCACGGAGGGCTCTACTCACTCGAGTATCCATACCTTATCTGGCAGACACCCGCCCTACAAGGAGTCACAGCTCAAGATTGAAGAAGCCAAAAGTCCAGATAACTGTGAAGGCAGCTGCTGTGCTGGCCAGCTGCTGTGCTGGACTCTACCTGGGACTGCCATTACTGGACGAATGCAAAATGTACTACAAAACAATGAAGTTTTTAGGGTGATGCCGCTTGTAGAAGGGCCCCAAGGGGCGCCGTCGCCCCTGCAAAGGCACCCACTGCCACTAGCAGGGCCGATAGCAGCGCCGCCGGCCCTAGGAGGGCCCATAGGGGCGCCGCAGCCCCTGGCAGGGTAATTGTGGGCAGTGGCTCCCCAAAGAGGTACCCTGGGGGTAGTCACTGCCTCTGGGAGGGCCCCTGAAGGCGCCACCACCGCTGGCAGGGCCTCTGGGAACACCACGGTCCTTAGGAACGTACCTGGAAACGCCCCCGTCCCTGGAAAAACCCCTGGGGTTACCGCTGTCCCTGTGAGGGCCCCTCGGGTCGCCAGCGCCCCTAGCAGGGCCCATGGGGGCGCCGCCGTGTCTGTGAGGGTCCCTAGGAGCGTTGCCGTCCCTGAGAGGACCATGGAAACTCGGCAGTTTCTGGAGGAGCCCCTGTGAACGCCGCCTTCCCTGAGAAAGCCCCTAGGATTGTCGTTGTCCCTAAGAGGGTCCCTGGTGGATCCAGCACCCCTGGTGGATCAGGTGCCCCTGAGAGGTCCGCCGGGGTCACCGCCGACCTTGAGAGGGCCCTGGGAGTGCCTTCGTGCCTGGCATGGCCAAGTGACCCTCACAGGGATAACGTCGATCCCAGGGTCCCTTACAGGGACGGAAGCGCCTTTAGGGGTGTTCCCAGGGACGGCGACGTCCCCAGGGTCTCTACTACAGCGGTGGCACCTAGAGGGGCCCTTCAGAGGTGGTGTCTCCCACAGGATACCTCTTTGGGGCGCCACTGTCCACAATTACCCTGCCAGGGGCTGCAGCGCCCCTATGGGCCCTCCTAGGGCCGGCGGCACTGCTATGGGCCTGCTAGTGGCAGTGGGTGCCTTTCCAGGGGCGGCAGGGTCTCTGCCAGGGGCGACGGCGCCCCCAGGGGCCCTTCCACAGGCGGCATCGCCCCAAAAACTTCATAGTTTTGTAGTACATTTTGCATTCGTCCAGTAATCCCTTACTTAACTGTGATTGGTGGAGCAAGATGTGACGTCATCAAATTACAGCCAATAGGAGAACAGAGCAATCAGTCAGCACAACACCCCAACTTATGCTTTGCTGTTGGATATTTATTTTCGTTTCACTATTTAAATTCTGGAAGATATGACGTTAAATAAATACACAGCCCATCGCATTTTCAGTATTATCGCAACCTGAAAAATGAAAAGGAACATAAATATCCAACAGCAAACCATAAGTTGGGGTGTTGTGCTAATTGGTTGCTCTTTTTTCCTAGTGGCTGTAATTTGATGACATTACCACTTATTCCTCCAATCACAGTTAATTAAGAGATTACTGGAAGAATGCAATATATATGACACCACTATCCATTTTTTTGGGGCGCCGCCTCCCCTAGGAGAACCCATTGTGAGCCACAGGCATTGGCAGGGTCCCTGGGAGCAGTGGCGCCCCATAAAGAGGCCTGGGGGGATCCACCGCCTCTGCAAGGGCCCCTGAAGGCTCCACCGCCGCTGGCAGGGCCTCTGGGAGGGCCTCTGGGAACACCACGGTCCTTAGGAACGTACCTGGATATGCCCCCGTCCCTGGAAAAACCCCTGGGATCACGGCTGTCCCTATGAGGGCCCCTCGGGTCGCCAGCGCCCCTAGCAGGGCCCATGGGGGCCCCGCCGTGTCTGTGAGGGTCCCTAGGAGCGTTGCCGTCCCTGAGAGGATAATGGAAACTCGGCAGTTTCGGGAGGAGCCCCTGTGAACGCCGCCTTCCCTGAGAAAGCCCCTAGGATTGTCGTTGTCCCTAAGAGGGTCCCTGGTGGATCCAGCGCCCCTGGTGGATCAGGCGCCCCTAAGATGTCCCCTGGGGGCACCGCCGACCCTGAGAGGGCCCTGGGATCGCCTTCGTGCCTGGCATGGCCAAGTGACCCTCACAGGGATAACGTCGATCCCAGGGTCCCTTACAGGGACGGAAGCGCCTTTAGGGGTGTTCGCAGGGACGGCGACGTCCCCAGGGTCTCTACCACAGCGGTGGCACCTAGAGGCGCCCTTCAGAGGTGGTGTCTCCCACAGGATACCTCTTTGGGGCGCCACTGTCCACAATTACCCTGCCAGGGGCTGCAGCGCCCCTATGGGCCCTCCTAGGGCCGGCGGTGCTGCTATGGGCCCTGCTAGTGGCAGTGGGAGCCTTTCCAGGGGCGGCAGGGTTTCTGCCAGGGGCGACGGCGCCCCCAGGGGCCCTTCCACAGGCAGCATCGCCCCAAAAACTTCATAGTTTTGTAGTACATTTTGCATTCGTCCAGTAATCCCTTACTTAACTGTGATTGGTGGAGAAGATGTGACGTCATCAAATTACAGCCAATAGGAGAACAGAGCAATCAGTTAGCACAACACCCCAACTTATGCTTTGCTGTTGGATATTTATTTTCGTTTCACTATTTAAATTCTGGAAGATATGACGTTAAATAAATACACACAGCCCATCGCATTTTCAGTATGATCGCAACCTGAAAAATGAAAAGGAAAATAAATATCCAACAGCAAACCATAAGTTGGGGTGTTGTGCTGACTGATTGCTCTGTTCTCCTATTGGCTGTAATTTGATGACGTCACATCAAATTACAGCCAATAGGAGAACAGAGCAATCAGTCAGCACAACACCCCAACTTATGCTTTGCTGTTGGATATTTATTTTCGTTTCACTATTTAAATTCTGGAAGATAATGACGTTAAATAAATACACAGCCCATCGCATTTTCAGTATGATCTCAACCTGAAAAATGAAAAGGAAAATAAATATTCAACAGCAAACCATAAGTTGGGGTGTTGTGCTGACTGATTGCTCTGTTCTCCAATTGGCTGTAATTTGATGACGTCACATCAAATTACAGCCAATAGGAGAACAGAGCAATCAGTCAGCACAACACCCCAACTTATGCTTTGCTGTTGGATATTTATTTTCGTTTCACTATTTAAATTCTGGAAGATATGACGTTAAATAAATACACAGCCCATCGCATTTTCAGTATGATCTCAACCTGAAAAATGAAAAGGAAAATAAATATTCAACAGCAAACCATAAGTTGGGGTGTTATGCTAATTGGTTGCTCTTTTTTCCTAGTGGCTGTAATTTGATGACATTACCACTTATTCCTCCAATCACAGTTAATTAAGAGATTAGAGGAAGAATGCAATATATATGACACCACTATCCATTGTTTTGGGGCGCCGCCTCCCCTAGGAGGACCCATTGTGAGCCACAGGCATTGTCAGGGTCCCTGGGAGCAGTGGCGCCCCATAAAGAGGCCTGGGGGGATCCACCGCCTCTCCAAGGGCCCCTGAAGGCTCCACCGCCGCTGGCAGGGCCTCTGCGAGGGCCTCTGGGAACACCACGGTCCTTAGGAACGTACCTGGAGATGTCCCCGTCCCTCGAAAAACCCCTGGGGTCACCGCTGTCTTCATGAGGGCCCCTCGGGTCGCCAGCGCCCCTAGCAGGGCCCATGGGGGCCCCGCCGCGTCTGTGAGGGTCCCTAGGAGCGTTGCCGTCCCTGAGAGGACCATGGAAACTCGGCAGTTTCTGGAGGAGCCCCTGTGACCGCCGCCTTCCCTGAGAAAGCCCCTAGGATTGTCGTTGTCCCTAAGAGGGTCCCTGGTGGATTCAGCGCCCCTGGTGGATCAGGCGCCCCTAAGAAGTCCCCTGTGGGCACCGCCGACCCTGAGAGGGCCCTGGGAGCGCCTTCGTGCCTGGCATGGCCAAGTGACCCTCACAGGGATAACGTCGATCCCAGGGTCCCTTACAGGGACGGAAGCCCCTTTAGGGGTGTTCCCAGGGACGGCGACGTCCCTAGGGTCTCTACCACAGCGGTGGCACCTAGAGGCGCCCTTCAGAGGTGGTGTCTCCCACAGGATACCTCTTTGGGGCGCCACTGTCCACAATTACCCTGCCAGGGGCTGCACCGCCCCTATGGGCCCTCCTAGGGCCGGCGGCGCTGCTATGGGCCCTGCTAGTGGCAATGGGTGCCTTTCCAGGGGCGGCAGGGTTTCTGCCAGGGGCGACGGCGCCCCCAGGGGCCCTCCCACAGACGGTATCGCCACATAAACTTCGTAGTTTTGCAGTACATTTTGCATTCGTCCAGTAATCCCTTACTTAACTGTGATTGGTGGAGCAAGATATAACGTCATCAAAT